AAGTTGGCATCCACTAATCCATGTTTGATTTGGTGTCAATTGCTAGCTCAATGCTCAGAGCTAATTTGTAACCATTGTTTAGTTACAAAAGTTCAAGATTAATCTTAAGAGGATTAGTTTCTAGGTGACCTTTGATTATATAATTTTTTTTTTATGGACGCCTTAATTGGTTGGGAAAAAAGAAAAACTTTGGCTTGAAGTTTAGCAATTGAGGGGCTATATCCAATTATCCATATAAATGCTATGCATTTTTTGCAAATGATTTTCTATAAAGCAAGCGCTATTCATCTAGTTTTTACCAACGATTAAAAAGATCCAAAAAAAGGGCCTAAATTTATATTATATTATATTATATTATATTCACTATATATATATACAATATACAAGGGGAACTAGTGGATCATATGTTACATTGTTAGGATTTGTGATGTGTTTTGAATCTTACTTGTTAAATCGATCTTCATTATTATCACAAAATTAATGACTATAAATGCTTTTTGTGTCAAAATTGTATGTGTATATCTTTGGAAAAAGAAATTAAGAGTCGAACTTTAGAAAGTTGCATGGGGCTTTTGTCATGATACAAACATTTGTGGCTCACACCTAATTATAATCTTATTAGAGATTATCATTATTTATTTGGACTAATTTATTCCAAATTTATCAACACTTTTTTCTAAAATAGGTGAAAATAAGGTAAACAAAATATAATCTTAGTTAATAATTATGCTTGTCAATTGCTAAAAATGATAGTTGTGAGTAAGACAAGCTAGTCCAAATTTTTTGAACCCTAGACAAGTTCAAGTTTAAATTATGTGAGTCATACATAAAGGATTTGAGTCAAGGTTAAAGGGTTTTTATTAGACAACTTTTTTAATGGGCGGCAAGGCCAAAAAGGCTTAGCGCACTAGAAAAAGAACATCGGGATGATACAAGCGCCCCAACTAGGGGTGTACACCGGTCCAAAACCGGACCGGACCTGGACCGGACCTGTTTGGACCGGGGACCTGAATTGGGTAATTATGAGGACTGGGGACCGGACCTGAATTAACAGGTCCGGTTCCGGGCCAGACCTGAAAAATCAGGTCCGGTCCGGGTTTGGACCTGAATGGACCTGTTTTGTGTCTTTTTCGTTTTTTTTAATACAAAACCTGTTGGACCTGCATATGGACCTGCATATGGACCTGTTTTGTGATTTTTAGACCTGTTGCATAATTTAATAATTACATACAAACCAAAATTATCAATTACAAAACTACATAAAGTCTATAAAGTCCCGATTCTCAAACACCAAAAATACAAATGAGTCCACCGAAAATACAAATAAGTCCACGAAAACTCAGTTTCAATTTTTCAGAGTTTGGTTTTCTTCTTTTTTTTTTTTTTTTTTTTTTTTTTAATTACGATTTTCCCGGGTTTCAGGTCCGGACCTGAAAACCCCGGGTTTGGACCGGGTCCGGACCGGGACCGGGAACCTGGATTTTTAAGAACCGGGACCGGACCTGAATCAACAGGTCCGGGTCAGGTCCGGTCCGGTTCAGGTCGGTTCAGGTCCGGTTTCAGGTCCGGGCCAATTTTTGTACACCCCTAGCCCCAACTGCCATATCGCAAAACGGCTACATATATGGTCTCGTATTCACATGTACTTATTGTACGTATTTTTAAATATTTTATAAATGAAATTTTTTATTTATTTATAATATTTATTGGTATTTTTCCAGAATCTATTTTAAAAGTTTCAAATTATTATTTTTGGGTTGATAAACTATTTTATTACATAAGGATTTTTTTATTTGTTTATTCTACAATTTATGCCATACAAACAAAAGTCCAATCCATTTTTTTTACTTAATTGATGAGGCCCAATTTTAACCTACAACTCTCTCTCCTATAAATACCCCATTGATCCCCAAAATTTTCCACTCAAAAAGGTTAGTATTATTTTTCCTTCTCCTTTATTTTTTTTATTTTCTTTTCTGTTCCTTTATTTTCTTTTCTTTTTCCTTTTTCTTTCTTTTCTTTTTCCTTCTTTCTTTTTTTTTTCTTTCGTCCTGAGCCACTGCTCACCTGCTGCCACTGCCTTGCTTGCCACCCCTGCTCGCCGAAAATCGGCATCGACCACTACTGGTCCGCCAACGAACCACCAATCCACCACCGTGGCTGCCCTCCTTCCTCTATCCCCTTTGTTTTCCTTATTTTGCTTTTTTTTAAAAAAAATATATTAATTTGTTTATGTTTTGATTTTATTGTTTAAAGTTTTATTGTTTTAGTATCAAAAATGGATTTTGATGATTTAAAACTTATAATTTCAGATTTATAATTTTGTTTTAAAATTTCAGATTTTATGATTCTAAAATATAGGGTTCTAATTTATTTAAATTGGGATTTTAGGGTTCTAATGAGCAATAAAATTGGGGCTTTTGTTCCTATTGAATTTCTAATGATTAATTAAGCATAGAAACATGTTTTTAAGGAAGTTCTAAGGAGTTTTAAATCAAATTATATTGCTGGAAATTAGTTTGGGAATTAATATTTGATTATTAATTGTATTCTAGGAGGTGATTATTCCCTAGGAGACTTTTAATTGATTAAAAGTGGCACAAAGAATTGTTTATACGAGATAAGTATGTACATGTCTACTTCGTTGTAAGTAGTATCATGTTTAGGTACCAAAAGGAAAGAATTTAGTTTCAAGGTTAGAGAACTCTTGGATGGAAATTATTTGGTTAAACATTGAATTAATGCATGTGCTTATGTTTATGAGACATGTTTTGGTGAATTGATTATGTTTGTATGGAATTATGTATGCAAACATATTGAATTGGATAATTGTTTGTATGGAATGTTGATACAAGCATATTTTTATTTGATTGGTTTGTTAACCACATTTGGATTTTTGAAGGATTGGAATTGAATGGTTTAAGTGGAATGAATTTATTAATTATTCCATGAGTTTATTATTATTATTTTATTTATTACTCAAGCATGACTTGTTCGTATGTTGAGTAAAGGTGGATTAAGCCGAAATGGCTAGGTGGGTTAACTTTGGAAGTTTAATGGAATTAAAGGTCAATTTGTGATGTGATCATTATTGTCCTAAATAAGATTAAAAGTGAATTATATGTATGATTATTATGTACGGCCTTGTTTACTTGAATGAGTTGGCTATTAATAAAACTTGTAATCACGTAAAGTGAAACATGGATGAGCAATAAAACTCTGGAAATGGTGCACTTCTGGAGTATTGACAATTATAGGTTGTGGTACATGGTAGTAGCCCGTGGCTTTCCGAGGCTTGTTTGATCAACATGTCCTCTTTTCTTTTGGTATTTACATTTTTATTTTATAATGAAAGTTAGATGGGATCATAGACTAACTTTGTGAGAATGGAGTCGCGCCTATTCTTGCATCGCGCTATATTTTTATTTTGAATTGTCATTTGAGACCAAAATGATTTGGTGGGTTGGACAACCTCGTCTATTGCTTACTCCAAATTAAATTAATTAAATTAAAAATATAAAGAGTCAAGTGATTGGAATTGGTTAGTAAGTATGTTGAGTTGATTGAACTATTTAAGTGAGGAGTCTTGATTAATGAATTCGTGATGTATGTTATATAATTTAATTAGTTTAACATGCTAAGTTGGTGCGTTGTAGCTTGTATGTACTCAGCTTTGCTGATTGCGTGCTTTTGTGTGTTTTTTTTTGTGTCATGGCCTTCGCCTTTCAATGACCCTGTGATGATCCAATTATTACACTTGTATTATTGGGAAGCAGTATTGCACAGGTTAGCTTGATGATGTGAAGTTCAGATTTGGCATATGCATTGTCAAGGGATTAGTGTGATTGAGAGTATTCGTTCTTCGTGTTGAACTGTACTTATTTATATTTTGTTATTTCATTTATGATTTGGGTTTTTTTGAATATTGGTTTGGTTTTAAATAAGGGCCCCAATGGTTCCAGTTTGTAAGCTTTGACTTATTGGTTTTCTTTACTATATTATTTTAAAGACTTAAGTTTGGTTTTTCCGCTGCGATACTTGTTAAAGCTTTAACGTTTTAACACGTGACGGTAACATGTCAATAGTTCTCCTTTATTTTTATTTTAATTAAGTGGTTTGAAAAAGGGAGAATTATTGGGGTGTTACACTTACTTTTATCGATCTCTCATAGATTTGTCCATTATCGACCCACAATTTGCACTAACCCAACCTACTTTGATCCAATAGAAGATGACCATCTTCTGATTGACCCTACCATTATCAACATGCATAGCACCGAGCCACTGACCTTGATCCGATTCACCCAATAATCAAGTCCAGCACGAGTAGAGCCTTTTCACTGATGGCTTGGCACTTTAAAAGCCAAAATGGCTACATACTTGATTGCTTGGTAGTTTTTTTTAGAAATTTTTTGATATTTTATCATTCATTTCATCCGGAGACATTGTGCATTCAAGGACGCACGAGCGCATGATGGAAAGTTTTACGCAGCCATACTCTTTCTCTAGCTAAAAGGCAAGTTCTACTAATTTGTTATCTTAATGTCAAGAATTGATATGATTTATAGTTTCATACACATATAATGCAAGGGATTGGATGCATACTATACGGCTATACACCCTTACTAAGCTAGGTTGTTAATAGACATCTTTTACAAATCACACAAATTTTACAACCATTTCATGAATTGACTTATCAATTGTAGTTTTGAGTGGACCTAAGGAAGAAAGTTTCCCTATGTCAAATTGAGTGGATTGAACATATATGGATCTATAGAACGATCGTAAAAAATTGTCCGATTTAACTGCAATCTGACAAAAATCAAAGTGACTCTCGATCTATACATGCATTACTATACTTAATAGGATTATGTACAATACATAAACTTATGGTAGTTATGTTATAGTATAAAGCAAATCATTAATTATGCAACGCAAGAATACCAAGTATCAACTTTAATGACCATAAGGTATTTTATGAATTAAGTAGGATGGTAGCCAGGCCACAACATAAAATTTAAAATTACACTTCTGGACTTCATAGAAAAATTCATTAAGTCAAGAAAAAGAGGGATGGATGGAAATGATGTAACTATTATGACAAAGAATGAATTATAAGAACTAAAAGGTTTTTTTTTTCCTCTTATTTTTTTATTTATATATTTTCTTAATCATGTTACATGTACATAGTTGTTTACGTGAAATTGCTAAAATATGGCCCCCACCCCACTTTCTCCAAATGACCCTAATCCACAGCCTAATTCTAGCATTTAGAGGCCTATAAATATAGAGACCAATAGTGTTGTCTACCTCACCTCTCTACTCTTTCTCATTCTCATACTCTCTCTTAATATCTTTTTTTCCTCTCAATCCTTAAGAACATGGCAGCAACAATCCCAAATGATGAAAAACTTTGGTTATTTTTCACCCTACCACAAATTATCACCTTTGAAAACATCAACATTATTTCAACCAATTTAACAAGTTTCCCTTTTTTAGTTACCCTTATTGGACTCCTTTTTCTTGGTCTTTTTACATGGGCTATCTTCTCTTCACCTGGTGGTTCGGCCTGGAAAAAAGGCCGCAACCATATGGGCCGAGTCCCAATACCTGGCCCGAAAGGCCTGCCTGTTTTTGGTAGCTTATTTACCTTAAGCCACGGCTTGGCTCACCAAACCCTAGCCTATATGGCTCAGGGTTTTGGGAGTAAGCAGCTCATGGCTCTTAGCCTTGGCTCAACCCCAGTGGTTGTGACCTCGGACCCTGAGATTGCCCGTGAGATCCTAACATCACCGTACTTTGCTGATCGCCCAATCAAACAATCGGCTAAGCAGCTCATGTTTAGCCGAGCCATTGGCTTCGCTCCTAGTGGGGCCCATTGGAGGCTCCTAAGGAGAATAGCTGCCTCCCACTTGTTTTCACCAAGGCGCATTTTAGCCCATGAAAGTGGGATCATGCTAGAGTGCACCAACATGGTTAATGCAATATTTAAAGAGCAAGTTTTGCATGGGGTTGTTTCTATTAGGAAGCATCTCCAAGCAGCTGCCCTAAACAATATAATGGGGAGTGTTTTTGGCAAAAGATATGATCTTATGAATGGAGAAGGCAACATGAGCCGCGAGGCGAAAGAGCTAGATGAGCTTGTTAAGGAGGGTTTTGAGTTGTTGGGAGCCTTCAATTGGAGTGATCATTTGCCATGGTTGAAGCATTTTTGTGACCCTAGTGGGATCGTACAACGTTGCTCGTCCCTCGTTCCTCGTGTTCGAAGATTGGTACAACAAATCATCGACGAACATCGAGAACGTAGGATGAATAATGGTAATGATGCATCTGAAAATTCTGATTTTGTTGATGTGTTGCTCTCTTTGGAAGGTGAAGAAAAACTACAAGAGGATGACATGGTCGCAGTACTTTGGGTATGTTCATACTTCATATCGTAGTCCATTTATCCAAAACAATGTTTTCTTTGTACATACCACTTTTCACGTTTGTCAATAAAATAGAATCTTAATAATCACTAATTAAGAATTGATTAATAGTCTTTTAGCCTAAAAAAATAGGAATTAATAATTGATTATTAATACTAGATCCGTATTTTTTTAAAATAATTACACTTAGAAAAACCATAAAGGTTAGATAGACTAAATAGCGAACAATATCTTATTATAAAATTATACTCGTATTGGCTAAGGTATACTTTGTAAGTAGTAGCATATATAAAAGCTACTTAGAATAAAGAAAGAAATGTTTGCAAAGCACTAGGTATATTATTAGTACTTATTAGTGTTATTACTTATACCGATATTTTTAATATATTATACGTAGTAAATTCTTTTTTCTTTTCTTTTTTTATTTTTTATTGATTTTAAGAATATATATATATATATATATATATATATAATTTTATTTTATTTTTTCTATTTTATTTTATTTTTTTATTTTATTTTATTTTATTTTTTTATTTATTTTTTTTATCTATGTAGGAAATGATTTTCCGTGGAACAGACACAATTGCACTACTGATTGAGTGGATTCTAGCTGAATTGGTATTGAATCCAACAATACAATCCAAGCTACAAAATGAGATCACCAAAGCCATGGAAGGTGCAGCCACAAACTCTACCATCGCCAAGTTACCTTATTTACAAGCCGTGGTAAAGGAAACCTTACGTCTCCACCCTCCCGGTCCACTTCTCTCATGGGCTCGATTGTCCACAACCAATGTCGGACTTAGCAATGGCATGGTTGTCCCTAAGGGAACCACCACAATGGTTAACATGTGGTCCATAACCCATGACCCTAACGTATGGGATAATCCTGCTATGTTTAATCCAGAAAGGTTCTTACACAACTCAGCCACTGCTGGCATAGATATAGATGTTCGAGGAAGTGACCTTCGACTTGCCCCGTTTGGGGCAGGCCGTAGAGTCTGTCCTGGAAAAGACCTAGCACTCGTGACAGTCAGCCAATGGGTGGCTGCGTTAGTTCACAACTATAAGTGGATCCAGCACGAGACAAACCCAATCGATCTTAGTGAAGTATTGAAGTTGTCATGTGAAATGAAGTGCCCTCTCTCAGCTGTGGCTATTCCAAGGAATTGCTTTGTTACAAAACAATACAAATACTAATTAACTAAATCAACAAAGTACAATCATGCTAAGTTATCTACATACACTTTAACGTGTTATTACGTTACACTATATAAAATATAGTTTTGCATGGAAATGATGCACCAAAAATACTTTATATTATAGCACACACCAATACATATATATGTCAACGTTCAAGTGTTATGTTTTCCACCTTTTCATATTGCTATGTAAACCTTTTTATTTGTAAGCGTGTGCAATATTGTGTACTTTTTATATATGTTAGCTTGGTTTTATGTGCAAGTGTATACTCAACAACGAGAATAAAAGTTTCATTGCTATATTATTGTTTATTTGTTTAGTACTTTTGGTCTATGGCTTATTTGTTGTATTTCTGTAATCAATTTAAGTATATAAGAAAAAAAAAAAACTAAGTATATGCTTTAATACACATACTCCTTAGAAAAAGTCAAAAAAGTTGGAAAGTTTTTCCCATTACTATAATTTTTAAAAGTTAATTTTATGTAGCAATTTTTTTTTTTTTTCTTTTCCCTCTAAAGCAATGTTCTACTTCGTATATGACTATATAGCAATTGCATGTGGTTGCATTGCATTGGCATAACCACGTAAGTAAATTCTAGTGAGTCATGCAACCCTCTCTCAATTCCTTCATAATATGGGGATGTTGGGGTGGTAAGAATCTGTTGAGTCCCTTAGGTTTTGAATGATGACAAACAGCTATGGGAAACAGGTTTTAATAAGTGTTGAAAACAGTTGGTTGGAACCAGCTATAATAGAACACTGTTTCCCTAGATAAGTTATTGACTATATGAGTTATCTATTGAACTAACTTATCTATATACAGGAAACAGTTAGATGATAAATGTGCTATGTACTGGTGGGGAACCAGTATGAACCGTTTCCTTGACTGCTATGCGGAAAAGCAGTCACATACTCTTTATTGTGCATTAACCATGTTACATGTGCAGTAGTTGAGTTGATTCCAAGACTTGGAGCATAGAAGCCTTTCGAAGATATTTTCGAAGAAAGATTGTTTGCTCATAATAGAAGTATTCAAGGAAGATTCAAGTCTTGAAGATTACATGAAGAAAAGACGATTTATGCTTTAATATGTTATCTAGGTTTTCATGTAATATGCTCCGTAGTATGCTTGCATGTTTGGGTTATATAAGTGCTTAAAAGTATATTGAAGTATGATATGAAATCTGGTACAAAGTTGGAACAGGTTTCATAACATGTTTCAATTCAGGGAACCAGGTCGGGGAACCAGGTTCACTGTACGAAATATTCGAGCTGCCGTTTTGGAAAAAGATTTTACAAAAAGATTTTTTCGAAAAGATTATTTTGAAAATATTTTGTGCAGCTGGAAATAAGATGAAATATTCTTGGTTACCTAAAAACTAGGAGTATTTATCTTAATTGATTCTATCTTTGTGATTAAATCAAATAAGATAAATACTTTCCTAAAATTACAATATATCTTATTCTCTAAGATTGTGTGATTTAAGGAAACTAGGTTTTAGGAATCTAAGCTTATATAAACTCATCTTATTTCACATATTTCGTGTGCCTCTCCAGAAATTAAAAGAGCAATTATTTGAGAGCATATACTTAAGCACTAATCCCATTCATCAAGTTATATACAAGAGCATTCTAGTACTTAAACTTTTTCTCTTAATTAGCTTCGTAGAAGTGAGATAAAAGGAGAGTTCTTGATTCTTGTATTGAGTCTTTAACAAAGGGGTTAAAGGCTGGGTGAGTGTTTGTGAGTTCAAACACATTGGGCTTACGAGTGTAAGTCGAGAGCACACTCGGAGTAGAGTGTGGGGTTTGCTGGTTCCCGGAGTAGGGAAACAGCAGAGTGTTCTTTGTCTTTGTTTTTCGGAGTAGATTAATAAAGAACTTAGGATAGGAGGACGTAGGCCTGAGTTGGCTGAACCTCGTTAAATTTGTTGTCTTCTTTATTGCTTATTTATATTCCGCTGCGTACGGGAACCAGCACAACTGGTTCCTCACACATAATCCGAAAAGAAGCAAAATTAGCCAACGATTACTTAACACTCAATTCACCCCCCCCCCCCTCTTGAGTGCCCATTGAACCTTCAGAATCAATAAGAAAAATATATACAATTAATTATTGTTGTTCAAAGCTAGGTACTCATATATAATTACACATGGATATATAACGATTGCATCGGGCTGCTAAAGAAAAGGATTGTGCTACCATCTAACTAAGGAATTTGCCTAAGCATAAACTCGGGTGTAAAAAACATTACTTGTTTCTATGTAACTTACAGAATTAGCTATTGTTGATTTGACCGACCCTTCCTAAATCCATTTTTTTTATGTGAAGGTAGACAAATATTTACATACTTCATAGTTCACTAATGTGGACTTTGTCACTAGCTCTATTTAAGGTTTTTCTTTAAGAAATTTGTCACATTATGTTTAACTTATCATGTGAAATCAAATAGTATTAAAAATTAACAAAATAGTCATGATGGGTTGATTTGTGTCGTGTCAATATATAATAAATAACTTGAATGTCTCTTAACCAAAAGTCCAAAACTCAATAATTTATCAAATGACTTTGAAAGACTAATCCCTAACCATAACTTAAACTCAAGCAGATTGCCTAATGACTTGTTTAACCTATTGATTTTCTAAAAAAAGAAAATTAAAACACAATTTTCTTTATTTGAAAAAAAATTAACATATACAAGTAATAATTTACTAAAACAAAGTATAAAGAAAATTCTACATATACGGAGTATATAGGAACGCCATCTTCAAACTTCCATCTATTTTGACCCTTATTCATCGGTGTCAAAATCAAATTGATTGAGTCGATCTGACCTGAAAAAACCCTATGTTTTTTACTTGTATGGACAGTAATTTAACATGACTCGAATTTAAGATAGATCTGACCAACCCGACCCAACCTAACCGCGTGAACCCAACCCAGTTACCCGAATCTACACCTCTAATGATGCATGAATGCATGATGCATTAACGGATTTGACTAATTATTTCTGAGTTGAAGGGAGTATAAGAATGGAAAATTTTGGAATTGAGAGAATTAACAGATAGAGTGCTTTAAACAAATACATTAAAATTGATATAATGAAACCATCAACATCGAAGTAGAATTGATATAATCACTTGGAAAACTGAAATTACTGAAATTGCATGGCATCAAAATGGATTTTTTTTATTTTTTTTATTTTTTTTTTATAATGAGTAGAATTGTTGCATGTAAAAACTTAAGATTTTTTTAAAAAAAATTATTATCAATCCATAATAAAATCTGTGAGCTTAATATGCACACTTTACGTTCTCTTGCATTAAACTTAATAGAGCATTTTTTACAGAAAATTTTACATTATTAGAATTAGACATGAATCAGATCGGAAAACATAAATCGTTTTACGGGCTTATGGCTATATTAAAATATAAAAGAGCTTCTAAAGACTGAAGCCTTAATTAATATTAAGTCGACAATTTTTAAGACAGCTAAGTCGACATTCATTTAGATGTTCCATGTTGTTAAGTTGTTCGTCATTTGTTCCATTAAATATCGATGGACGTACCTTTTTTTTTTTTTCTGTTTGCTCAAATTATGCTGTTTTTGCACGTCTGTTACAAATTTATAATTTCAACACTTCTAATTTAGGGACATTTGACACCTGGAATTTAATTGGATCCACAATGTTATGTTATGTAATGTTTGATGTTTCTACGGCATAATTTGAAAGTTAAATACTTCTTGTTTTATTTCCAGCTAGATTTTTTATTTGTATTAGGGTGGCTAACGCGCGCACATTGCTAATCATGTTCTAATTACTTTTTCAATTTAGTTTTATGTCACAACTTTAGTTTTAATGCGTATAATTATCCAAATACTAATTATAAAAGTTATTTCAAATTTTTTAAAAAGCACAGTAGAAAAGGCAAATAAATAAAAATAAAAAAAAAAAAGCCAAAAAGCTACGATGGTAAAAACAAAAGAAAAAAGATAAAGAAAAATGTCACACATGTGATTTGCATGCATAAATAGGGGTATATATATATATATATATATATATATATATATATATATATATATATATATATTTATAAACATTTTAAAGGATATATTTGGCATAACACTATTCATAAGTGTTTGGTTAAACTTTTAATAAGGTAGGGATTAGTTATTTCGTCTAGATTTATAGAAACGGATGAAACTAATTTTAAAGGAAGGATCTTCATACAAACACTTAAATAGACCTGGTTCACATTAGTTTATTGTGGACCACTAATATATATTAGACACTATGGTCGTTTTATTAATAAATAAAAAGGTCGTTATGTTAAAATAAAGGTCATTATGTTAAAATAAAAGTTATTGTGTCTTAATAGGGGTCATAAGAGGTTAATTTTTTTATAATGAAATTTTTAAGATACTGGCCAATATGAATAATAAAGATTACTTTGTTAAAATTAGGGTCACTATGTTCAGCATAACGTTATACTTCAGGTTCACAATAATATTAAAGGTCGCACAAGTTTTAATAAAGGTTAGGAAAATTTGTCAGAAAGGTCCTTTTAAGTAGGCCTTTTTGTTGTAAAGGTCCTTTTATAAAAAAAATGGCACAAAAGGTCCTTTTATCGCATTTAGGTTGTGGCGAGGGTCCCTCAACCAGATTTCGACAATTGACTTTTTTCCCCAACCAAAAAAAATTACGTGGCTTGCACGAAAATCTATTTTACCCCTTTCCTCCCTTTTCCCTTTATTAAATCCTAATTTCTTCATCATCAACCTCAAAGCAAACCCTATTTTGTGAAAAATAATCATCAAACTCCGATTCTACTCCCTCACATTAATATTGAAGGCAATTCAAGACAAATTAATCGAACCATGTCGGGTAAAAAACCGGGGAAAAGGGGAAAAAAAGGATTTTGAGTGGTCATGTACAACACACGTGACTTTTTTTGGCTAGAAAAAAGAAAAGTCAATGGTCGAAATTCGATCAAAGGACCCTCGCCACAACCTAAGTGCGATAAAAAGACCTTTTGTGTCACCTTTTTTATAAAAAAGGACCTTTACAACAAAAAGACCTACTTAAAAGGACCTTTCTGACAAATTTTTCTAAAGGTTAATATTTTAAAATTAAGGTTACTATATTTAGTATTAGGATCACTATGTTCAATGTAAGGTCAATTACGCGCATATGGAACTTAGGTCCACAATAATATTACTGTGAACCAGGTCAACACAAGTTTTTTTTGGATCATCATTAATATTCTGTGTCAAGACCAATCTGA